TATTATATATATATATATATATATATATATATATATATATATATATGTATATTTTTATTTCGTATATTATCGAATACTTCATTATTTTTCATCTTATTTATTACTATATATTTAATACAACAATGCTTATTTACTTACGTCGTTCAAAGTAAAATGAAATGAAGGTAGATCGAATCTTTAAGTTAAGCCTGTTTGGTTGTCTCTTTGTAAGCTAGAACGTACCAAAATAACGCATAATAATAATTGTGACTGATAATCGAGCTGTTTATAGTGAAGTGACGTAAGTCAAGTTTTGAGAAACAATTGGTCTGTGTAGTCAAGAGCTGTCTAATCATATAGCGAAAATTAATATTGCCTTCGACAAGATTTTTCAAAATGCGATTTATATCACTTCGACTCGGATTGTATTCGCCGATTATACATAGCGATCATACGTAGCAAACATCACCAGCAATATATTCGAATTTCAGGGTTCCCCGCGTTCACCGCGGCTGCGGCCGCTGCAGCGGCGGCAGCGCAGAAGACGAAGTTCAGCAACACAGACAAGCAGATCGAGGGTCCTGAGGGTTGCAACCTCTTTATCTACCATCTGCCACAGGAATTCAGTGACACGGACCTCATCTCTACCTTTTTGCCCTTCGGCAACGTCATATCCGCCAAAGTTTTCATAGATAAGCACACGCACATGAGCAAATGCTTTGGTAAGTTGAATTAACTTAATTGTAAAATATAATAGAAGGAATGAGATACGAGTAAAAATAAATTGCGATGAATACGATGCGATAGAGACAAGTGGGATGCTGTATCTTCTGGATTTTGTTTCAGGTTTTGTCTCGTATGACAATGCGTCGAGTGCGCAAGCGGCGATCCAAACGATGCATGGTTTCCAGATTGGCATGAAGCGACTGAAGGTCCAGTTGAAACGGTCCAAAGATGCCTCCAAGCCATATTAGCTGATGTCACAAAACGTTCGTAGGTAGATACCAAGGACTTCTCGGACACCTTGGCTCGGCGTCCTTAATCAGGACGACGATCGCGCATTTAATTAACAACCGCGATGGTTGATGATTATCTCGCAGCGGAATCGCGTCTAGCAATATAGGTCTAGGTAGACAAACAAAAGTATTAGGTGGCAGTATTTCACGATACTCTCTAGTCAAGCAGTATTTTCCACAAAGGTAGCGAGTTAACGGGCTACGATCGAGCATTCTCGGACGCCGAAGAGGAGACGTCACTGCTCGACACCTTCGCCGTCCTATCGAAACGAGGCTGTGATAATCCAGAAGACTCTCTTGTCTCCATCGGACTTTTCTTCCGAGGTGCAGGAACGTAATTTATCCTTTTAACGTGTCGCTTGTGCGAACTGTCCCGCCGAACTGTCTTCTCTTTTCTACCTGTCGGCCCCATACGTGAATACATTCGGTATATTTTTTAATCCAACAATTTGTCTATTCTGTTCATGTCCGTGTCATGTCGCGATCATTATATATCGTTACATCTGTTGTTAACTTATCCAGTATCAAGTTTAATATAAAGATCTTGCTTTTTTTTCGATAATCCATTTTAATAATTTTAACAGGAGATAGAGGGGATAGGATTAACGAATCAGTATTAGCTCATTATTATTTCGGACCATTTGATTTCGTAGCCTGTGATGATTGATTTCAGAGACTATGACCGATATTTAAAGTGACTAGTGAATCCGATGATACAATTAATCGCGTAGTAAATTTTTTTAGGAATTAAATAAGCTGTTTTTTATGTCAAAAGTGCCTTTGTGCACTCAATTTTATGAAACGTCAATATATGTGTTGAATATTGTTTATATATTCTCGTCAAAACCAAGGGATTTTGCATGCAAAAAAATATGCAAATATTTTATTACGCTTTCGTGATAAAGAAATTTGCATGTAAAGGCTTCGTAATGTGATTGTGATATATCTATCCGTTTTTCGAATCTCTTAATTCCATTTCTGTCTTCATAAAAAATACAATTAGTATTTTGCTTTCAAAATAAGTTCCAGTATATAATAGTATATAATAGTTCCAGTATATAATATTTCTAACGACTTCTCTACATCCACGATGTTTTTTGAACTTAAATTTAATTCAATTTTCGAATTAAATTTCGTTGTATCCATAGAAATGGGCTTAGCAACGTGCATTTAGCGTTAAATGTGTTCAGTTATTTTTAGATTCAATTTATTTTTAATATGAAAAAAGTACGTAGTAGTTTAATACGAGTACATTGTGAGAATCGAATACGTTTATCACTAAATGCGCGGGAGTGTAATACGGGTCTTTCAGATATTCACCCGTAATATCCGCCTGTATCGCACGGTGTCGAAAGTATATTCGTCTCTTCGAATCTCGAAAATGCAAGCCTGGCGGCACGTTCTCGCAGCGGATGATGCAATCAAACTACATTTCGTTGCAAAGGCTGCCAGTAAAGCTTACTGTGCTAACTTACTGTTGCACAAAGTGAAATTACGTACATGAAGTTCACTAACAACGTAGCTTTTTCCCCTAGGGAGAGTAAGATTAGTCCGCTTTGAATTTTCACACAGCGTTCGAGTCATATCTCGTAACCATTTGACGATTTTACTTTTCTTTCTGTTTCTTTTTTTTTTCTTTTTTTTTCTTTCTGTATTTTTTGTAATTTTGTAGTTTATCTCTTCCTATCTTTCAATTTTTTCTATTTAGTTCTCTCTGCTAATAACCAGTAGTTTGAGCTGGTAATTCAATCGACAGATACGAACGGATGAATACAAGAATCTATTTTCACTCATTGTAATTATATCAGCAGCTATGCCGGGTGTATCTCCTTCTGTTTAGTGTTCGAGACGCACAAAATTCAATACGTTCTCACGTGATAATAATATCACTAAGTTTTTTATGGTTAATCACGCTACGATGCTTTATTAGTTAGTAATACTAACATTGCCATGTGATTTTTTGGGGGGGAGGGGAGGGGGGGAAGGATATGCAACCGATCGTCGCAAACGGTGGATAAGCCAAATGTTTCCTTCAAAATAAGAAATTATTTTAATTTAAAACATTTAAAAAATTGTTAAAAAAACCTATCATTGTCTTATTTAGTTGTCAGTTTTGATACAGTTATTATAGTCGATAACAAATGGTTTTTGATCATGAAACTGCCATCAAAGGATACTATATGTAATCTGAACAACTGCTATAATTATTATTTCTAAAATTATTAATCTGAATCTAGAAACTATTGGCGAATTTCACCGACTGCGTTGCATTAGCAACGAGTTTTCACAAATGCGCTGTCGAATACTTTGTTTCTCTTTCCTTGTGACTGTTTGTCAAGCTAAATAAAGTGGATTCTCGTTGCTTGTGTTTAAAAAGGACGATTCGGCAAGGTATCTGCGTACACGATGCACGGTGTCATTGGTTTAAAGATCCCACAAACGTTTCTTTCGACTTAACATATTTTTGAACGTAATTCTACACTTTGTACAAATACAATTCTCTTATCAGACTTGCAACTTTCGAAATATTCCCTTATTGAAATATTATAATTTAATAAAATCATATTAAAATAATTTCGTCTCTCTTTTAATTGTCAGTAAAGAGAATTGTGTAAAGAATAACGAAATTGTAATTTATCTTTTAAAAACATACTTATTTGTTTCATAAAGTTTTCTATTTAAAAATTATAGAGCACAGATCTTTCAGCTATATTGTAGCAACGTTGTTAACAATATTATAATATTGCAACAATATTGTTGCGATACAGCTGCAAAATTTGTGCTGTACTGATCATGACCTGTCGTGCCATGTTTATTTTATGGCAGATAATAATCGGATAAATTGAAAATTGTCTGCAGAAATAATCAGGCATAGCGAGGATCTTGCGGGATCTCGGAAAAATCATCATCGTGCACGTTTGCCCAGGAATAAACCTACATATCTGGTGTGTTGTGGTGACTAACCTGTCCGTGTGTTTGTTTGTGTGCCAGCAGGTGGCCTGTGACGTTGTGACCGTGTACTCTCGATCGGAGTCGCCGTGCCATGTCAGTCTCAGTCAGTCAAATCGGTATCGATCGTTCGCTCAACCGATCGATTGATCAATCACGATTCCCCGGTCGGTCTCTCGATCAGTCTATCTGTGTCTGTCGGTGCCTGTACAAAGAACAACATCGCCCACGCGCTCTCACTTCTGCCGTAAGATCCTCCACCTTGTCGATCTCTTCTTTATCTCTTCATCTCATCCCCTCAAACTTTCGCGCGCCTGTACACGAAGTCGCAACATCATTCGTACTTGGCGATCGCGTCGAAAGGATTGCCTCGCCGATTCTCGAATGGTTGCGCCTCGTCTTCTTGATCGCAGCCTACGCATATAACATGTCGGACATGCAGGAGAGAATTCGAACACGATGCGATGGGCGAACAAAGAGCTCGCGATCGAGAAAATGCAGAAAAGCACACGATGATGAAGAGGGACGAAAGGCCAGGAAAGGGACAGAATGGAGGACGATGCACGCACCGACGACCAACCTGGGTTCCTCGAACGAAACTAAACGCGCTATTTTAATTGTTTGTTCAACCTCCCTCTTGTGTATATATACAGATATAAATATATTATGCATATATATGTGCATACACATATATGTGTACGTGTGTATGGTATGTGCGTGGTGGTTGAGAGCGCGATGATTCTCGTGATTAACTAATAATGGTAGGTGACGCTCTACGTTTCACGGTGAAAGAGAACGGAAGGACAAGCGAGGAACGTACTGTGCGAGAGAAATTTCTTCTATATACATAACTATACATATACATAGTTATATACATGTTCATAAATCGAATTATCGACTGAGAACTATTTTTATCGGCTCTACTATCGGGATCGCTATCAACGCCTCGCAGCGCCTGTTTATATATAAAAATATGCATGCACACACACACACGTGTGTGTATGCGCCGCGGCAAATTGGGCGTATAGACTAGATAAATGTATGTGTACGAAGAAGCACGAGAGATGGAGGCTGGAAAAAAAAAAAATACGCGAAAGGACGTATAATCGTGCGGGACCGACGCGCGTGCGATTTCTTAGGTTTACAATCGTGCAAATATACCAAAAACGAAACGGATACAAAGAAATATACAAAAAACCGATAGATAGCGAAGAAATGAATATAAGAGACATTTTGTAGTAATGACTTTGTGATAAGATTATATAGTACGGGAGACCGTCTCAAAATAAAACTGGGCCTGATCGCTCAGGAGTAACACATCAGGCGTCACACATTTGCGCATCCGATTCTACATTGTTATCAGAGATGCTTCGCGAATAAAGACAAGTACATGAGATACGACAAACTTTTAATGAATTTTAATATCGGACAAGTTTTCTCGATCGCACACTTGCTGCATCGTCTTCTTCGTCGGATTCATGAATTGCACTTCATGCGATCTTAGGTTTTTAAAACTGGATATATAATCGATCGAACAAGTTATTTGGACTAATTCAACAAAAATCTGTGCACTCTTTTTTCTCTTGTAACTGAAAGTCTTGTCAATGCAATCTGTAGAGTGCAAAGAAAAAAGATTGCGACAATATTTGCGAAATAATTTCGCAGTCAAAAAGAAGAGATTCAAGCAAACTGGCACTTAATACGCAAGATACTTTGGAATAATTCATTCGTGACACCGAATATGAATCTATTTCTTGGAAATAAACAGGAAGACATTTTAATTTTTTTGTTAATCATGAATTTGTTAGTTTTTGATAATTAGATTAATGAACATGATGTAATATCCACAAAAATATCCATAATATTTTCTCTTTACTATCTATTTATTTTTGTATTATTTCAGAAATAATTATTGATCGCAATTTCTATTAAAATTTATTGAGAGAAAGCAAATGTATTTTTACGTTATAATTAGTGCGAGTAATTACTTGAAACAAAATAAATATTTAGATATCTTGCTTTTAATGTAAAACATTTACAATATACATGATAAAATTCCAAGTGCCGTGTGAATGTTTCCAAAATCATGCGATAAAACAATCATGAATAGTTAGATGAACAATCGTGAAAATTGATTGCATGACAAAACTGTGCAATGATTTTATTTGAATACAACTAAACAAAATCGTGCAAGAATATGTATACAGGGTTAGTAATTAAAAAGTCATTCTAAGTGCTCTAGTCTGGATATAGAAATGCCTTCGTCAATGTTAATTCAACATGAAAATGTGAGACATCTTAAAATTCATTGTAATTGAGGTTTGTTACATAAAAAAACTTCATATTCTGTAACATCTAAATTAATACGAAATGTTTTCATACATAATTTATACTACAAAATTATTATTCTTTGTTTCAAGCTTATATTATGATAAAAACCTATATAAATTAAAATTTATTGTACTCTAATGTCTTCAAAGCTTTTATTGTGAGTTCTGAATAATATATTAAAAAAATTATTTTTTAAATTTCCAATAATAATTAATATACAGAGATACCAAGATGATAAAATATTAAACATTTATTTATTTTAGAAAAAAATATTTAATTATCTTCATCTTTCAATTTTTGAAGTCTTTATTTTTTTATTTCTCTTAAATATTTTTATTTTTTATAAATTAAATATTGAATATTGAAAATATTTTTATCTTAATATATTTTCACTTTGTCGCACGCAATCGTCAAAATCGTTAAATTTAGGATAAACTATTTCTTCCCAAAATTTGTTTATTATATTATCCAAATGAAAAAATCTTACACAACTTCCTTTCGATATTCCTAAAAAAATCTCTATGCTATTTTTTTTCTGGTATTGTCAGTTTTCATGAATATCATTTATACTTTCAATTTCGACAAAATATCTTTCGATTTATTTCTTTTCTCGCAAAATCTTATCTACATTGAGCAAAGCAAGTTTGCGTACACTCAATTATTAAATAACACTAATCATTGCTGTTATTTTTTTAAATGTATATTGCTTTTTTTATATGTTTTTTAGGATATTTTAAGGAACAATTAGTTTGACTTGAGAATTAAAGTAACAAAAGTCATTTATTATTTATATTATTTATATTTTAAATTTAAATAAAATAATTATTTTTGGAAAAAACAAACAAAATAAATTTTCTTTATTATTAATTGTTATTTATGATTAAGTGTACGTGGTCTTGTTTTGTCAGCAATATTAACACGCGTGTAGCAAACCAAATAAACAGGGCACCGACATCATTCTATAGAAAATGTAAACGAATAGACAAGTTTTTTCGGCATCTCCGATTGTCTTTGAATGGTAGAGAACATGTTTTGTACGAATTACCAAAGATGTGTCTTTAATTAATTGATGTATTTACGCAACGCTAATTACTAATCCAAGACTGTTGGTCAATGTTTGGCTAGTTGTTAAATGTCTACGCATGAATAAGAATTATTTAAATATAAAATGTTTTTGTATCATTTCCTCATGTAATGTAAACATAAGTGTTACAAAAAAGTATTTATTATTGATTGAATCGTGTATATTTAAAAAACAGAATATTATATATCTCTTTTAACACAACATGAAAACGTTATAAGTTTAAATTTTACAAAAATTTTTGTTGATTATGAATTAAAGTCTAAATTACTGAAAGATCATTTGACAGAAGCAAGTCTCAAAGATTTTTTCGGTGTATATGTAAATGATCATCGAATGTACATAAATGTACATAATAATTACCTCAAAATTATATATAATTATATATAAATTATAAATCTTTTATAAAATAGTTTAGTATTCAATTCTTAAACTATGCGTGGATAATTAACACTGATTTACATCGAATAAATCGATTAACTAACAATAGAAAGAAAATGAGCACGCGTACACATTAGTCTTGTGCGTATATACAAATAGAGCCTAGTCATAAATAATGGTTGAAAACTTGCTTCTATGTTCGTATCATTTTCATTATTGTTCTCCAGCACATATGTTGATACTGTTATTAGTACTACATTTATGGCTATTATTATTGATATAATTGATTTCTCTTTACTTAATTATATTTGTTGTTCTAATTTGATTACTATCATTGTAAGAATTATTATTATTATAATTATTATTCTAGTATTATTCTATTCTTATTATAATTATTATTTCATTATTAGTATTATATGTTTATATTATATTAGTACTTCAATGGCGGCGATATATTAACATTTATTATGACTATTATTTCTATTATTTTTATATGTATTATTACTTTTAGTACTTTTGCGAGCAATGTGGCAATCGCGATTATTACTTGTTACTGTTACTAATATTGATCGCTCGCCAATTTAGTGCTGCAATAGCGAACTATCAGTTTGGATCGAAATCAGAATTAATCAAGTACTTTCAGTTCATTTTTACAAAACTTTATTTTTACTTATAAAGAATAACTATATGCTTTTGTAAAAATGAACTTACTTATAAAAAATAACTATATGCTTTTGTAAAAATGAACTGCATACATATGCGATCATTAAATGGTCAAATAAGAATCACTTATTGAAACGGTTTTCCCAAGAACGAAATTATAATGATGATGGTGAACGTGACAATGTACTTAGAATGAATGATTAACTTTCGCGTTTATTTGCGTATTAATTATTCCAAGGTTGGATACAAACTAATTGATGATAATAATGTGCAACATTCGAAATGTTTTTCTCAACGTTCAAAATAATTACAGTTACTTGTAAATTTTAGTGTGTAAATTCTTATGAAATACTAATCGTGTTTTTTGTAAAATATAAATATCAGAATATCTTAAAGAAAATGAATAGACAAATATCTCTGCATTATAAAACTAATCTTCATTCTCTCTGTTATTTAACTAGAGAATATGGATATGTACATAATTTATCTTATAAAAGTTATTCTAAACGATACTTAACTAATTTCGTGCTGTATATAATGTTTTCCTTCTTTTTTGCATACAAACTAATCGAATCGAATCTGTGATCTTATTTGACCAATATTTCAATAGTACATCCATCTTCTTCGCAATTGTAATCTAAATTTATTAGATAGATTATAATTTGTTTTTAAATGTTTGAGCTATTACCTCGTAAAATTACTGTTATATTGTGGAGTATATTTGCGTTTATTTGCGTCATTAACAATCTGTCGTGCTTCTTTATTTTTGTTTTCTCACATGCTGAATCAAACTTGTTTCTTCTTTTTCTTTTTTAGTTTGTGTCCATCGCGTTTCTTCCTTCGTATATTCAAAATGTATGTTTTTTTACATTAAAAAATGAGAATGCGCCACTATCAGAGTTATCAAAATGATGAATCGCGTATAGCCAAATGCAAATTTATTCTTATTTTAATATGTTGAGTGTCAGTTATTATGCAAAGAATGTTGCTAAAAATCATTTTAATATCATAAATGAAAAAAAATAATATAACTGAATTCATCAAAGCTAATAATTAATTTAGTTAAAATGTAACTAAGCAAAATTGAGAATTTGAGAATAAAATGTTTATATTAAAATATACGTACCAATATACAGAAATTTAATCAGTATTTTAAATATTTGCATTCGGTACTCAACATATTAAATGCTGTCGCTTAAAATATTGTAAATGCGATATTCAGTACTTAAACAATCGCAAGGAGTACTTATACACACGGGTAATTCGTTAAAATACAAATTTTTAAAAGCTATATTTTTACGAATTTTATAACTCACATTTAAATATACATATATATTCTCAAATAATTGACTATTTTATCAGTAACTGTGTCAAAATATATATGAAAGAGAAGTTTTTATTTCCAAGTGGATCATCTGAAAATCATTGAAACGTCTGAAAATTATTGGAAAATACTCCGAAAAACGCGATTAATCCTACTCTTTTGATTAGATCGATTTAATCATCGACGATCGAAGCACATCGTGTATGCGAATAGAGTATCGAAATTTACTGCTGCGGTTATATATCTTAAATATGCATTGGCATTTTTTTTGCATATACGTGGCACATACAGACACGCATTTATGTTTGGGCATTAAGTGTATGTTTTCGTTCGTGTGTATATACATCTCTGTGTATACATCTCTACTTGTACAGATGTATGACATGAGTATTGTGTGCGCGATGGTATTCGCCTTCTACCGTTGCGTGTAATTGCTGCTCCGCATTTTTCTTAAATCCTCTATTTTCAATTTTTTCATTTTTCTCTTATTTTTCTTTGTTTTTTTCTTTTTTTTTAATAAATAAATATTCTTAAATGCTGGCGGCAAAACCGCAGAATCGTTGGCGTATATCATTAAATATACTTATATACTTTCTTTTCTGTTTCGCTTAAGCTACGATGCAATCAGCATGTGGCATATGTTGGAAATAACAATACATATATTTATTTTGTTGTTTTAATTTTTTTCTTTGCTTTACTACCACATACATTTCCACAATCCCGACTCCTTGATCACTATATTCGACTATTACAAAAATCCGTAAAGAATTGTGCATAATATCGATTACCTTTTTTTATTTACACTATGATTTTGATTTAACTCCTTAATGACAGAATTTCTTTTTCAAAACACAAAGAATTAAATTTTTTTATGTATGGATGACTAATTTATTTCTAATAAAAAATATAAATTGTTAAGAAATTTATACAAATAATTTTATGATAATTTTTTTAATAGGATATAACAATAATTTATTAATTATAATATCAAATAATAAATTTTTGTAAATCAGAATATTTGATTTAAGGAGTTAATTAATTGTAAATGATTAATAGAGCTTCAAATGTGTTCTTTTACATTGTACATAACTGTATGTGTATTGCGTGCTCCCAAAATACTAATGATACTATATCTATGACAACAAATGGAAAAAGTATCATATACGAATAATTAAACTTTTATGCAGCATAATTTATGCAACCTTGTCAGATTTTTTTTATTGTTTTTTTGTATATTTTACACATATTTGCTCATTTAATAAATAATATATATTTTATTTTAAAAATGGCACATTTAAAAAAGATATAAATTGAATCAAGATAATTATTTTTCATCTTTTGCTGACTAAATGCTGGTTAATCTGTTGGCTGTAATTTTGATGCGAGATATGATTAATTTCTCATGTTAATTTCAATTAATCATTATTTTTGAAAATATGAAAGTCTGAAAAATAAATTA